ACGCGCGACTGTCGGTTTTGTGTCCCGCGCACGAAACCTTCTCTGCTGGCGGAACGGAGAAAATGCCTCGGAGTTTTGTGCTAACGCACTTGGAAATACAGAGGAAAGAAACACAAGGGGAAAACCCCAGTTTCGACGGCCGTGTTATAGAGAATGCTCAGATGTGCAACGACAGGCTTCGGTTGTCTCGTGTCGCGCCCATGCGGTTTCACTCGAACGAATCCACCGCCCCCAGTTGTACAGCTCGCTCAAAACGCTCGCATGCGACGAGACGCGTCTGGTAATTAGCAACATTACGACGCTTGCCTAATGAAGCCGTCACATGCTGTGGCGCGAGTGTATGTCATTGGCTCGGAAGATGATGTAATGTCATGATTCTGCCATTTTTTTTCCACTTCAATTCAATTCAGTTTATTCAACATCTGAAAGATGTTTCGTGCACAGACAAAAAGCTCGAAAAGGCGCTTATTTCGATGATTATCATAATCATCATCGTTATATTGAACGCCATCATCATTACTGCTCAACTCATCATCATCGTTTATTGTCATCTTTTCCTTTATTTATATTATATTGGCTCTCCCCATGACTACATGACCTTTTTTCGCTGCCTTCTAATACGACTACTACTAGGGCAACTACTACTAATATTACTGCTACTACTGCCATCAGTAGTTCTACTGCTACTACTAGTAGTGCTACTACTACTACGGTTACTACTACTACTACTACTACTGCTAGTTGTTCTACTGCTACCACTGCTACCATTACTGCTACTACTACTACTGTTAGCAGTTCTACAGCTACTACTACTACTAGTGCTACTACAAATGCCACTTCTGCTAGTAGTGCTACTACTGCTACTAGTACTACTAATATTACTGCTACTACTGTCATCAGTAGTTCTACTGCTACTACTAGTAGTGCTACTACTACTACGGTTACTACTACTACTACTACTACTGCTAGTTGTTCTACTGCTACCACTGCTACCATTACTGCTACTACTACTACTGTTAGCAGTTCTACAGCTACTACTACTACTAGTGCTACTACAAATGCCACTTCTGCTAGTAGTGCTACTACTGCTACTAGTGCTACTACTACTAGTGCTACTATACTATTGCTGGTGATACTACTACTACTACTACTACTACTAAATGTATAACCTTTCCAAAAATGACCAATCCTTGCCTCCGAGAAGCGCCATCATGTACCGCAAACCACGAACATAATTATGTGGAACGCCAAGTTGGTGTTGTCTAAGATGTTCCCCTGTCACGTGGCAACAAGTACGTATAGGCAAAACTGAGATGTGCCTTAACGACAAGCTCAGACAACATTGCAACAATGTAAGAAATGGCAGAGAGGGTCACCTGGAAATGCATTACAGAGATTGCAAGTGTGTACTGGATTTTTGCGCATTTTCCATGATTGCCAAGAGTCGAGACAAGGGGAACAGATTAATCGTTGAGGATAAAATATTACTGAACCCGGTGATTTTCGAGTGACGGTTGCCTCCTTATCTTTATCTCAGAAAGAGTTTCGATATATCAATGCGACTTGGCAGCCACGACGTGTGAGAACACTGCGTGAATAACTGGTACCAGTTTTATTTTTTTCTTGGAATAAGCATCGTTTGAAGTGACTTCCTGTGTGTTTGTGTCTCTCTTTTCGTCCGTCGTCTTCTTGGTGCCTTCTAATCTGAATAACACTATACCAACCCGCCCAGTTGTGCACGCTGGCATTCTACAACGATGACGGCAGAGAGTAGTCTAATACCGATGCCACATGATGCACTTCTGATCTGGTCAAGATAAGCCCATTTCTGATCAAATTGCTCTGCAATAATTGGCTCCTTTCCGGAGCTTGAGTAATTGATTATTATGTGGGGTTTAACGTCCCAAAACCACTATATGGTTATGAGAGACGCGGTATAGTGGAGGGCTCCACAAATTTCGACCACCTGGGGTTATTTAGCGTGCGCCCAAATCTGAGCACAAGGGCCTACAACATTTTCGCCTTCATCTAAAATGCAGCTGCCGCAGACGGGATTTGATCCCGAGACCTGCGAGTCATCAGACGAGTAGCTTAGCCACTAGACCACCACGGTGGGGTGAGCTTACGTAAAGAAGTCAATCCTGATTAAATAAGTTCGATCAGGACTAGACGCGATGGAAGTCAAAACTTTTACAGTTTAACATCTATGAGAGGCAACTTCGCCTGAAAAAAAAAAACAAAGAGACTCCAGCCCAAAAGCTCGTTTCGATATGGTTGTTACAGAGAATGCACATATAGCAACGACAGGCTCTGGTTGTCGCGCGCCGCGGCACTGGCGTTTCTCGCGACGGATCGCGTCTCCCTCGTAATACAGCTCGCTCGAAATCCTCGCTCCACACAAGACAGTGCCGGCTAATTAGCAATGGAAGACGTTTGCCTAATAAAACTGTCCGAAGGAGGTGCCTCGCATTTTTCATACTCTTCGGTGCGAGACGGGGGTGACGAAGAAACAAAAGGCAAGAAACGTAACCGAGAGAAATCGTTTCTTTCACGGAGGAACGGAATAAATCGATTCGTGTATGCGCCGTTCGGGCCGCAAGGTATGCAAGATATATGACGAGAAGGTGCTCGTAGACAGCTTGTAGAGTCCTTGCTCATATTTTATGTGCAAGAGCGGAGGGGCGTCGCTTCGGATTCGAAACAGATTAATAACGCACCGGGAAACGATGCCGTCTGACGTCAGGGCCGAAGTTTTGACTTAATTACGAAGAATGTTCGGAATATGTGGTGTTACCCGACGAACGTAATGGACAAAATAGTTGCGCTTAGGTTTGTCAGCGTGAAACGTTAACGATATGGTTGTCGTATGCAGTTTAATTTTTGCAACGCCTTTTTTTTTCTTGGCACATCGATTAACCGGCTTGATAAACAGTTGACCCGCTTTGTTTGCGAGTTGGCGTGGCTCGTAGCACCTGCAGTGCTGCTCGTTAATATCTTGTGGCAGGAGCAAACTTGACAGTCTAGTCAAAATGCTTAGTCTAGTTAACACACTTACGTAAGCACAAAAAAGGTAATCATTAACTTACGCAGTGTTAAAACTAATTTACGCGTCTATGAAGTGCTAGTGCGATTTGATATCATCTAAAGTATTTTAGGAAGTCCTGAGGGCAATGTCAACGCACGCCTACAATCGTGGCAGGTTTCCAGCAGCATATACTCATTGTATGTGCTTATGGAAGCAGGAAAAAACTCGACACACTGCGGAAATTTGTTGTACACGTGTAGGTAGTTAGCGAAGTTCATAAAAGCTTGTGAAAACTTCAATTGGAACTTGGTTAACTGTATGTTACCTGATGTAGAAAAGGCCGCGCGGGGGGGGGGGGGGGGGGCGACGACTTACTCTGGTTCGCTAGCGGTTTGCTCTTCCTACAGTAAGGGGAGGGAGTCCTAGAATAACTAGAAGGAAAAAAATTACGGCATCCGCATCATATGACCAGCTAGAAGTGATTTGTCTTTTTAACTAGGTCAAGATTGTTGTTTGCGTAATAAAAATGCCAAGGGGCATTTATACCCCTGAAGAGAGTGCTTTGCTGAATAATGGACGTAATTGAGGCTCTGCGCCCTTTACAGGAAAACATGTGGCGTTGAAGAAAGTTGTAAATGTTGCAGGTATTTGTACGGCGTTCACGTTTTACAAAAATACAACGTTCTGCTTTGCTGTGTGACACTACTTTCTTGTCACTGTGGCACGGAGTTTTTTCTAAAAGACTGTGCTTGCCTAGTTATTTCGCATTTTCACGCATTGTTTTGGTGGTTGATCAGTGGAGTAGCGTTCATTTTGTGTGGTATGTCTAGTGGACACAACGCAGACAAAGCAACGAAAACGTTTTCTGGAGTTGAGTAAGAGACTCTGCTGAAGCCTCGAATACAGAATAATTATTGTCCTCATTTGTCGTAGAGAATAAATGGATGCTCCGCCATTAGAGGCTTTTTTGATGTACTGATCTTGACGATAAGTGATGAGAGGGGCTGTGATATATGTCTAACGTGTATGCTGTAGATGCTGCCTTACATTTAGGAACGTGATGACGTTGGCAGTTAGTTCACTATAAGCGAACATGTTCAAAAGCGAGGAGACTGCCAGCGCATCAGTGCTAGCGTGAAGTTTGCGTCGTCACTGGCTGCCATTGTCATCGTGGGTTCCATGAAACACATTATGAGTGGCCGCCACCCTTCTTTACTGATAGTGACTTGACTGGCTCTTGGCATCTTGTACATACCGAAAAACAGTCGTGCAACGCCAGTTGATGAGCATACAAAGGACGGAGGAGCTATTAAAACATGTGCCTTCCCGACAACAAACAAGACCAAAACTTTGGTATTTGTACACATAGCTTTGCGTCTTTTGTTATGTTAATTCGCGTGTTTTGTTAGAGGAATCGTCTGTTTCAGTTTAGTGGCACCAGCACCGAGCGACACTTTCGTCCTTTTTTGCAGCACTTGCGGTTGATCACTAACTTCTGGTTTTCTAATGCTCCAGAAAAAGTCTTGTAGAAAACAAATCTTGCCTGAGCTCGATAGTTCTGGTTCATCAATTGAAGTGTCATAATGAATACGTACGATATGGCAGCACGGGGCTTCATTGAAATTGACCAATTAACTGCCATGATAAATGTCAGGATAAACAAGTGCACCAATAGAGCAATTAGTTTTGCTGGGAGCAGATGGAATTGTTGCGACACCTGGCGGAGTAGATCTCAACTGCGCTCTTCTTTGTACATGGCTCCTGTGATCCGCTCTTACAGCGCGACAAAAGTGCATGTTAACCCGAGGAATACACCAGGGCACAGGAACACAGACGTGCGAGTTCCACTACGAGGCACCTAAGTCAATGCCTAAGCTCGCCTCCAAGTTTTGTTTCATTGATTACAGAGAAACTTTCGCGCCGACGTTTACTGGCTGTCAGCTATTGAACTGCCGAACTTTTGGCATTGGTGCAGTCTTACAACAAGGGGAACCGGAACCGGAGAACCGGCACAAGGGCGAGGCCCCCACCGTCTCGGCCAGTGACGTCAAACAGAGGACCACGAGCAGCGGCGCTGGATACGTGAGGCAAACGCCACTCATGCGGAGACGAATGCACGGAAACTCCATCGACACTCCGGGAAGCCAGATGAGGCCCGCCCGCCCGAACGAAGGATCGGCTGGAGATACTGGTGAGATACAATTTCCATGCAATGTACAGATTGTTTATCTAGCGGCTAGGTTGTATATAGTTTTTTCTTGTTTTGTTTGTCACAGAATTCCCGAATCTTTCGCCGAAAGCATGTCCATAAGAAGATAGAGAACATATTTGCATGTTGGAAAACCTTGCATGTATTTAGTGCAGTGTCGGTTGCAGAATATTGCCGTCACGTACGTCAGATGATAGTGATGATGATCGTAATGGTGGTGATCGCCGTGTTTTTTTTATACGATTTGCCGCCAGTAATTGACTGTGTTTATAGTTAAGGAAAGCTTTCTGTTGACCTTCATAGCTATAGCTTAGCCGAAAGCAACGCTTGGGCCTACGTACATCGAAGTTACGTTTATCAAGACCACAGAAACCCATTTTTGCTGGGATTGTCCAAGCAGGAGCTAGCTATAGTATAGTCGTAAATAAAATATTTCGAAAACTGTTTAATCAGCGCCCTGTAATAGGACAACAGTCATAAAAACAAGTATAATATTGAAGAATATGGCGAAATAGACACAAAACATGTTGGTAGCTGCTACTTTACCTATCTTCTAGACGGGTTGGCTACATTGAGCTTACGTTTTATTCTTTAAAGATATGCGAGGGGTAGTTAACATTGCCGCTACTACTTGGGTAGTCAAAGTTCGCAGAGGTGATCTTTGTAGTGTGTTCTGATCGTAATGATCTAAGGGGCGGGGCGGAAAGAGTGCGGAGAGGAATACAGCCCCCTCCTCATAATTGAGACGCACGCTGTAGAAACAGCCTCTGTTTGCTGAACACGTGCATGACGTTTTAACCTCGTGTTTTAGGTAGGCATGTTCATAGGACAAGTTGGCTGGTTGTTTTCGGTGTATGGGATGATACAAGAGCTATATAGTTCCCAAACCTGAAGCTCATTTATCTTTGCTGGGCTGTTAAGAACAGTGGACATGGCACGCTAGAAGGAGAGGAAAATGAGATGCGGTGCATGGCACGAGGACCTTGGTTCTTTTCGCTGCCGCTTCGTGGGCGATTCTGCGTGGTGGGATGTGTCAATATTCAGTAAACCAGCATCATCGTCGTCGTCGTCATCATCATCATCATCATCATCTTTTCGCGGACATAAGCGGCAGCGTTCAGACAAGCTGCTCAAAGTTGTTCAGGCGTATTTTCCTTAAACCAGGTATAACTAGAAAGAAGTGTTCGATTTTTACATGAGCCTCACGACTGTCCCATGACCCTTCATCCTCCGTTTGCCCTTCTTATTGCGAGATGTTGTGTTAATCCGAACCGTGGTACATCCACTCCATCTCCCGACTCTCCTGTATCTACCTAGAGTACGAGAACAACGTGGACGCCATCCTGGGCGAAGACGCCGACCTGTCTCGGCAGCAGCAGCATCGCAACGTCGGCGCCAGCCAGTTGTCTCGCTCGGCAAGTCACAAGCGGGCTTCGCAAAGCGGCGCTGAAGCAGCCGACGGTTGGCAGGGTGACGACCCAGGTCCGGCTGCGACGTCGTGGGAAGGCGACCGGCAGCGTTCCTGGCAAGAGGACGACCCTTGGTCCGAGGATGCCCCATACCCGTCGGACAAGCAGCGTAGGCGCCGTGGACCGGCCACCGAGGCCGGCGGAGAGGGAAGCCGCTACGAGCCTCCTCTCAACACGATCGCCATGACAACCGTGGCCACCACCGGCGACGTATGTGTTTCCTCCCGCTATATGTGCTTGTTAACAGAGTCACGAGTTTATTCCATGTCCTAGTCGTTTGATTTTTTTCTTAACTAAGAAGTGTTGTATGCTGGGGACTGCGGTCCACCAAGACTTCACAGACTTACTCCCGCGATAGAAATGCGCCTGTAAAATACATATGCAAATAAAAACTACAAGATTTTTTTTATAGAATCAGATGACTTGGGGGTCTTCTCAATACGTGACAATAGGTGCCGTGTGCTAAACCCACTGCGCTACCAGCGCACATGCAAACGGTTTCACGAAAGCACATTATATCTCTCACACCTCTCGCTCACAGTGCTTTGAGTTGGTGGTGGGTAAGGAGGAGGAAAGTGGAGGCTTCGCAGTATGGGAGTTCTGCAAAGAAGTACTGCATCATCACACGTCACAACACAGACCAGAAGTCTGTATCAGTGATACAGCAATCACCCTTCGTGGAACAGAAGTACTATTGTCTTTTAGAGCACGACTAAATAAAGATAGGATACTTTCCTCATATGGTGTGCCTTATTCCTGTACCTATTATTTCCCTTCCTTGCGTTGCGTTATCACCTTTCAAACAATAATATTTCCGCTCACTTCAATAACACCCATAACGGGTGGGATCTCAGGTCTAGAATGGCATTATTTTATTCTGATATACTAAAGCCATTATTGGGAAGTTGATTCGCCAGTACCGCAATAGAGACTGAAAAACATGAGTATACCCTCATTAGTTACGCATGCATGTGATAGAGGTTGTTTTTATTGTTAATTATTTTACAAAGATGTAGTGCTGAAGGTGCAGTAGTAAATTTATCTCATCACAAACCATTGCACTACTTATCAGCCTTATCTATTTTCACGTTTTGATAGTACCGCCACAATGTATGGGAGGCAATGTATGGGAGGCATGTAATAAATCTCTTGATCCACATAAAACCTTCATCTGCCACAGTTGATTAGGCTTGGTCGAAGTTTTGAAGCTTGCAAAGCAGTATAACTAGAGACATTTAGCATAAACCATTTTTGTAGGTGCCTCTATTACTCGAAGATACTACGATTTGGCAGTGCACTGTGCGACAAAATCGAAGATGTAGTACTTCAGAGCAGTAGTTCGGTAGGAAATATACGAAAATTTAGAAATCGTCCTGTTTAAAACACGTATACACTGCACAAGCACGAAAGTCAAAAATAATCGACTCAGCTAAGCCAGAACAATCTATGAATAAATAAAGGGACTTATGACTGGCTTTTATAAAACTCCCAAAGTCCGCGAATTTCAACTTTCGAAATCATTCCTATTGTGCACGCAGCAGAAAAAAAGGCAGCAAAAATAAGAGGAGAAAGAAATGTAATCGCTGGTCTGAGATCAGTGGTTATAAATTATGAAAAGCCGAGTTTTAGGAACAGGCTAGCACTATGTATTCACGAAAATGGCGCTTAAGTAGTAGGAAAGAGTTGCAAAATGGAACAGCACTAAATGAAACATATATTTATACCGCCAAGTTCCAGAGTGCCAGCATCGCAAAGTTTTCCATGTGGCTTGCACCGTTCGTGCTTAACGCTTGTGCCACTGCAACTGCATACGCGTCCCTCGCAGTTCTTGCCGTGTTACGCAAGGAAGGACAAACAGTTTACGACACCGTCCTGGATAAAGCCACCGCGCTTTAAAGACCCGTATCTCGATCCGAAATGCTACAATATCTCGGGGGCACCCATAAAGATGGGCCACGCTGACTTTCACGTCTAGTAGCAAAAAAGAAAAAAACATTTTGGTTAGCATTACGTACTATGTCTCGTCGATGAACCATTGGTCAGCTATTACACGGATTTGTACTGGATTCCCGTATGCTTTGTGCCGATGGTTTACGACACTCCGACGTTCGGAACGGCCGCTTGCGTTGCGAAAGTCTCGTGCAATCGCGTCAAATCCACTAATGTGAAATCTGATCAGGGTTATTACTAATATCTACAGATAGAAGTACTTTGACAACAGCGGTCCCCTTTAATATGGTCTTGCTAGCTTAAAATGCAGTTTATTACGCGAATCTGGCGTAATAACGTTTTACGTATTTTCTTAGTATTTCTTGGTTAAATGCTGTATGATGATAAGGTACTCTGAAACTGTAAAGCCGTGTTATTGTGCAGTGGTGACACCCTTTGTTGAACAGTATGCTATTTGGAGTTACTGTATATACTAACATTAGGTAGCATATATATGGGTCCTAAAACAGCCATATATATGCGGCATACTGGCAAAGTGTATAGTGTACAAGTCCTCTAAATGAGCAATTTACAGTTACTACACACAGTGCCACTATAACGGCATACTGGCACTGTGTTCAGTCACTGTATATAATTTCTAAAAGAGTCATGTACAGTAGCTTTGCATAGTGCCGGTGTAACGCGCAGCATGTATTTCGTCGTATTCGTATCTGTGTGAACCTTTGTTGTATGGTACTTCTCAGATCAGTGATTACTGTTTTTAACGAAATAATCACCCCTAAATTTAGCGCTTATTTATTATCTTCTAAAGTACTGTACTTACACCAATGAAGTGAGCGACCCAGAGTTAGATTAGGGTGACTAGCGAAGAATATAGTCTAGTGTGCTTGTTGTGCAGCTGTAGTATAAAAAATGATTACTACTTCCAATTTCAGCCTCACGCTGCTTCTGCTCGTATCAGAGGTAGTAAAGCAAAACTGGATTAATGTTGGCTGCCTAAACCACGTCGCACGTAGAAGCCATTCTTTCATGGGATGCGAACACAATGCGGGAATTATTTCTGCCTGGTCGTTTGTTTTAATCAATGTTCATGGCAAGAGACGACATTATTCACTCATTTTTGCCCAAACACGGTGTGAGCTTATAGAAACATTCTCGCCTAACGACTGCGTTAACCAAACAAACGATCGCGGTAACGACGTTAAATCTTTGTCGTGATCGCTGGTTCAGCTAAGTCGGTCGTTAGGATTATTGTGCGGGAAACGTTGTTATTGACGGCTGAACTTTGCTGTTGTGAATGGATATTTTCACGCACAATTTTCGTATTGCTTCATGATTTCTGAAAACTTCATAACCCAATATTATCGAAAGAGAACAGGAGCAGCCCAAGCCATACGTAGGCAGCAGCTTCTGTTTAACACTTGCTAAAAAGAAAAGAAAGGTCGATGAACCATATTTATGAACCAAAATTGAGGTGTCGTGTGGATCATTTCCCGTCGTTTTTTTTTTTCATACGCATTCTGAATAGAGCTAATCTACACCAGGGGTTTCAAACATGCTTCCCGCGCTTTATTCGCTAGTGGTTCAGACTGTGCTTCCATCGAAATTTTTTCCCTTAATGAGCATGTCAATAAGCTACGCAGGCATAACTGGTCTGAAGCATTATCCTTTACTTAGGCACCCCATGCGGTCACCTTGTGGCCAAACATAACTGTTGAACAAACACTCTATATCCATAATAAACGTCAAGAATTGAGCCATGCTGTTCATCGCTAATTCCGTTTGCAGAATGATCCCGAGAATTCTCATTCACGATTGATATACGAGATATGGGAGGCCAGGCCTAGCGCTATACTACATTTAGCGTATGTTTCTCGCTAGCTGGGGGGAGTCTGACACCCTTGATGTGTGCTCTCTGATTCACTTTTACATTTGGTGGCTGGAAAGGGGCCTTGGTTATGAATCGATACACCCGTTGTCTATTCGTCGTCCTATTTTTCTTTGCCCCACAGTATAGATAGCGAACCGGACACGCGTTTGGTTGACCTTCCGTCTTTCACTTTCCTCCTCCTCTCTCTCAAGCGAATTCAAAAAGCAAAACCATTTCCTCTCCCGCTTATTTTTTTTTCAGCCCGTTTATCAAGAAACTGCTGTTGTGTCAACTATTTTATAACTGATGTTTGAAATGGGGGGTTTTAACGTCCCCAAAAACACCATATCATCGTGAGAGACGCCGTAGGTGGAAGCTCCGAAAACTCTGACCCACTGGGGTTCTTGATGTGCACCGAAGCTAAGCACACGGGCCTACAGCATTTAGGCCTCCATCGAAAATGGAGCCGCCACAGCCGCGATTAAATATCGCGTCCTGCAGGTCAACTATAGTAATCGGTGAATCCGTTCTATTGTAAAGCTTGCATATCTGTGATCTTCTGCCAGCAGGAGTCGGTGCCGGCTCCAGGAATGACGTCGCGGCCGTGCCAGCAGCTCTCCTGCTCGAGGACGGGCCGTTGCGTCCAGGACGAACGAACGGGCAAGCGTGCGAGTGCGCATGCGCTCTCGGCTACACGGGCGCCTTCTGCGACCAAGGTGCGTCATGCTTTCACACGATCGCAGCCCTGGATGATTTTCTTTCTGCGATTGATATCGCTAACTCGCAACATACTAGCACTTCCCATACCCCCAGCGTGTAAGAACTTGAGAGTGTTTGAGGACTTGAGGTTTGTGTTTTTTGTTGCGCCAAAGAGGGCATTTCCCGCACTTTTTTTCAATATCAATATACTCTGTAGGAGAAGTCGTGACACCCCGAGAGAATCTTGCATGCATATTTAAGTAGATTGTATTTAAAAAGCATGTCTTTTTAGCCTGGAAATCAAGAATCACCGAAAAACGTAACAAGTTTTTTTTCTCTCTCTCTTTCAGAATGTTTAATGCCATAACGCAGTTTTGGAAAGGATGGCAGTGCCACTGCCCGACTGTAACCAGGCGTGTGCCTCTTTGTGCGAATGTGGCGCTTACCATGTTTCCTTTTTCCCCTTTATTTATGTTTTCTCAATCTTGCAGGAAGGCTGGGATTTATTTTAAAGTCAATGTCGCTGACGAGAAGACATTTCGAGACGACTTGTCGTAGACATGCACTTCTTCTTGAAATGTTACGACGTTCTCTGATAAATTAACGCTTATCGCCTTATGCGAATTAATCACGTGAAGATCACATAGTACGAGTGCAGAGATTTCGCATTAGAGCATGCTTTCTTGAAAATCTTTTGAATTCACTGGGACAGGAGTCCTAAACCACGCGGTGGCCCGTGTCTCCACAAGAATGAAATCTTTGTGACATTGCTAATGATACTCGCATTATTACTCACCTGTGTGTGCTCAGTAGCACGTTGTTCGGGCACGATAGAGCGCCGGGACTGTATCAAGTATACTTTCTCTTTGTGTAGGCACCCCAAGGGGCCACTGTGTGAGGAAACACAACCATCGCGGAAAAAATCTGTATGTGATGATGAGTACAACATATGTTTCTGGAATTTCTGCCGCCTAAACTGCTTGAGAAATGATCCAACTATGCGATATGTAAAATGCGTTTTTTTTGTTTTTGAATGGCAGTCCGTCTTACTCGCAGAGCGCTGCCTGCGTCGGCCTTTCGAGATGAGAGAGGGGGAGGGGGGGGCGAGAATTGGCACGAGACGCGAGCATGCGCTGTTGGGGTGTGGACGGCGCCGCCACCGCTGCCGCCAAAGCGTGACATCGTGCGACTGATAAATGCTCTGCATTTTAAAAATTGGATCGTATCTGCACGTTTCACTGCAAAAGTCGTCGAAAGACGGTAGCCTTGCGTCCTGGATGGAGTAAATAAACGTTTATTAATGTCCTGGGCGAGAAATTCATGAATGGGATTCTGGAGGCGCTGCGGCTGCGTTTACGCTTCGTCTGACATGAGCGCCATCTGGCCGTAATCTTTGAAAATGCAAGGATGGCCTCCGATATAGACGGTTTCAAGGTCACAAGCGTTGTACTAAAGAAACTTCCGGTCTTCTCGTATACCAGCTCTTAACGTTGAAACGGAATGCACGGTTTTAATTTCTTTTCAAGCGTAAGGAAAAGTCTCTCTCGTTTTCACATAAATGAATCGTGCGTGAAGTTTAAGAGCATGTTTTATAAATTATACGTAGCTCAAAAGAACATTTATTTGAATGATTTTTGCCTAAAAGTGGAAGGAATTTTTGTAAATTAGCGGGCTATTTTCTAAAACTTTGTGGTCCTTCAATGCTATTGGTGCACACCGATGCACAAAACGGATGTCACCAAAGGGTTGTGGCAGCGTGTGCGGGTTATTTGGAGACCATAACTTGTAGAATGCAAAGTGATGGGTAGGTTCCGTCACCGTATTTCGTACTAGCAAGCGCAGAGAAAACCCGCCTTTTCGTGCATTGAGTGGCATTCTCAGTGCAGCGTAATAATAATACGTTCTTTATAATTACTAACGTATGCTTTGTACGGTATAAGAAAATATGCCCAGATATTGACATGTTGAAGTTGTGGCCAGGTAACGTGAAAATATTACCTTCAATCGAAAATATGCCCTAGTATGAACGACCGAAATCAGATCAATATTGGTGGGCGCTGTGGATGCGGTTGAATTTCAGTCCATATCGGGTGACGCACAGGGAAGTTGGTCTGGGAGAGCAAATTTTTTCGACCGAAGTGTACCAAGAGAAGACCATCGTCCTTAATAACTGTTTGGATAATATTAGCTCAAAGAACCGCCGTAGCCGGTTTTTTTTTGAACCCGGGTCGGTGGCAACCCTACAATAAATAGGGTTCCTTGCGCACTAAAAAAAGTAACTGTAAGGAGCAAGCCAACATTTTTTTTTATTTCAACCGATGTATAAAAAAGCAAGAAACGCGGGTCACTGCCAAGGGTCTTTTTTTTTTTTTGAGGTGCATTTTCGGTTTTGTTCGCTACAAACGGCATCACGTGGCTTTAATTCACATGGAAGCATGCCACAACGTGTGACATCACGATGACGTCACAGTATTTGGCGATCCGTGACATTACTATGACTTGATATGGTGACGTCATCCCGTTACGATGATTTTTTTTTTGCTTCACTTGTCCCCAACACCATGGGAAGATTACCATCGATGGTAAAATTCCCCGTCTCATGAGACATGCAAGGTCTTCGCCTTCGAAACTCATTTACTGTGATCATTGCATTGTTACATGAAAAGGGGTTCACGGTCCTCTTATATGCGCTCACTCTAAATAGCTAGCGGGTTTTCCTGTCATATGCGCCAGAAGAGTGTTCGCATTGATCTGTGGCAATTAAGCATTATTCACTGGATGGATGCACGCGCAGAAGTGGACCTGCGACGTCCCCGCTTTTCCGGTTCGTCGTACCTGGCCCTGCCGACGCTGCGGGACGCGCACAAGTCGATGCAGATCACGCTCCAGTTCCGGCCGGAGACTCACGACGCGCTGCTCCTCTACTCCGGAGAGACGGCGGAGCTCCAGGGAGACTACTTCGCCATCCTGCTATCCAAGGGCTTCGTCGAGTTCAGGTTAGTGGAGCACCGAGAGAGAGAAAAATAATGCTGGAAGTGTAGTAAGCTCGGCTGGTAGACACGAATTCATCGTTGTAAGCAGCGGAAAAGACGGACGGCCACGCAGCAAGGATTGACAAGAAAAGTGGTGATCGAAACAGTTTTTACTAAGTAATAAAAATAATACTAGTATCAAGAGTGCTACTATTATATACTACTACTACTGCTACCGCTACTACTACAACTAATAATAATAATAATAATAATAATAATAATAATATAATAATATAATAAAATATAATAATAATAATAATAATATTAATAATAATATATTAATAATAATAATAATAATAATAATCATTTTAACAATAATAAAAATAGTAGTAATAATAATAAGTGACAATTTCGAGCTCCTTCATATTTTTTGTGTGCCTTCTCCTGTTTCTGCATTTAAATGCAATAAAATGTAAGGATATGCAATCTGTTATAATAATATGTATTATTATTACTAATATTATTATTATTATTATTAATATTATTATTATTACTACAATTATTACTATTATTATTACTACTATTACTACTATTTTTACTATTGTTGTTGTTGTTGTTAAAAGGGAAAGGGCACGAAGAAAATATGAGCAGGCTGAAAATTGCCGTCTAAATACTGTCCTGTCACGGTACCGTGACGTCAAAGATGAAACTATTTATTTGGTCAAACTTTTGCTCGGTGAACGAAAACTCAGATTACAGCAATACGCACTGACACTGATAGCGGCGAACAGAGCGTCGGTTGTTGATCAACTGACGAGTGGTGAAGCGCGTCGGCATTCATACATGTGGCGTCCAATGTTCCAGCGTTATCTCTTACGGCCACGTAAGTAATAGAAGAATCTGTTGTGTTCGCATTGTGTGTGTAGTCTTGACAAAATGATCTACTAAAATAGTGAAGCTTCTCCAAAACTCGATTGATTGATTGATTTTTATGGGGGGTTTAACGCCCCGAAGCCACCATATGATTACGAGAGACGCCGTAGTGGAGGACTCCGGAAGTTTCGACCACCTGGGGTACTTTAATGTGCACCAAATTTCATTCTCGAACACCGAGTCCTGGTTTGCACTGACCATTCCTGACAGTGTTTCTGGGCGTGAACCGAATACTGCAAGCTCAAAAGTCTAGTGGCTAAGGTACTCGGCTGCTGGCCCGCAGGTCGCGGGATCAAATCCCGGCTGCGGCGGCTACATTTCCGATGGAGGCGGAAATGTTGTAGGCCCGTGTGCTCAGATTTGGGTGCACGTTAAGAACCCCAGGTGGTCAAAATTTCCGGAGCCCTCCACTACGGCGTCTCTCATAATCATAGTGTGGTTTTGGGACGTTAAACCCCCCAATCAATCAAATCATGCAAGCTCAAAATTAGGAATTAGTGTGGCAATATCCACAACGGCGGCTGCGCCTTCGGAAAGCTAGATGGCAAAAATAGTATAAGATAGGAAAAGAGGAAAGCAAAACAATAACACAGACCATCACAGAAATAAACAGTAAGATAGGAAATCATCTTTAAAGGTGAAACCAAATTGTTTTTTTTTCATGCAAGGTTTCTGTGCTCAATAAGCATGATTGCGCCGTGCAACGCTTCCTCCATTTAACAGGTATGAAATGAGAACCGTGTGCCCTTAGTCTAGTACGTCCGTATTTCTTGATGAACAGTGCCCGAGGCGCCAATGAATATGCTTACTTCAAAATAATGTATTCAAGTGTCTTACACGAGCCACAAGGCGAACGCAACAGGCTGTACACACCGTACTCGCCATATAACGGTTTTGTGCATTAATGCAAACCATCTATCACCTTAAATAAAAAAACAGGCGTTCCTTAAAGCGAATGACCGTGCAGAGCATGCGGAAAAAATTTTACCGACACCTTCCTCACGAGTTCGAAAATGCACGCAAAGCACCGTGCTTCATATTCTCCCAAGAAGTGATATTTCTTTGTCTTGAAACGTTGCAAACGCCTGACTCGCACATTCTTAAGAAGCCTTGAAGATGTGTGCCGCCTGAACAATTTTATGGGCCCTATGGCTCCTGCAGCTGTACAAAATAGAAGCGGCACCAGAGCTGCGATACAACTACAATGCCGGCAATGCAATGAAAAATTTGAACTTGCCGGGCCATCCTGGGAATTGTGGTGCTTACTTAATCGCACGCTGATACATAGCTCACAGTGGCCCACATATGCGCATTACACAACAGGGGAATAGAGCGCACAAATAGGAGGTTCTGAGATACGTATAACTATGAACATCCATGACAGTACAACCCACCCTTGTACTTTTTCTAGTCAAATCTTTCTGTGTGCGTAGTCGAGTTTCTTGCACTGTTCATTGAGATGAAAAATCAGAAGCAATGTAAAGATGTTTGGATGAGGTAAGGCATGCAGAATTGTGGCTAATAAAGCGATTCCAAAAATAAACATTGACTTCAGCCTTCAATTGACAGCAGTCTGTCAACATTTTTAACACCTTCATAGGTGACTGAATACACTGGTAAGTAATGTCCGGATATTTGTCACAGATGATGCGTACAAAATTGTGGTTGATGAATTGATTTTTGAAAAATTATGAATAAATGATTCCTAAAGAAAGCATTAACTTGAGCAGAAAAATTTACGACTGTCTGTCAGCATTGACAACGTTCTAGGTGAGTCGGTACGCTGGCAAGCAATCTTTGTTGAGGGTAATGCATATAGATTTGTGGTTGATTCTAATAAACTCTAACGATTAAGGTCGTGTGCTTCTGGACATTCATTTGTTCGTGTTGGCAGTAGATAATATTTAAAGCAGATATTTATGTGCGCGCACTACCCACGCTACGAATGCAAGGACACCATATATAAACCCATGAACAAACATACACGTGCGTGCGACCTTCGCGTGTGCGTTTGTGTGCGTGTATAGTAACACATACACAATAAAACAGGTTTGGGGGAAGGATTACCACAGCTTGTAATATAGAGTGGTAGAATGGGTATAGCACTACGACTTACGCAGAAAATGAGCATATGCGAAAAATGCACTCACACACGTAGTGCAATAAATTTGGTTGAGCGCTTGCCTATATTAACGAAACTTTACGCTTATAGAAGCCCGAATATTGACAATAATGCACACACGCTATTTATTGGTGCACTCACCGAAGAGAATTAAGTCGTCGCATGCGAATTTATTGGAGCAAACTTCCATAGTGTTGGTCACTTCCTTCCTAGTAAGTAAGTTTGATTTGCACTGTTCTCCGTCGTGCGTCATCGGCATCATTTGGGAAGTAATTCAACGATACGTTGCCATCTTTCCACCACGATGTCACGCATTATCACTTTCTTCTTTTACAGGCTGGCGCGTGTGGCATGGAGAAAACAAAGGAACTAAGTCGCCAATTCTTAATGCGCACAACATGATAACACATCTTCTTTCAAGGTTGACCTTGTTAGCGTCATTTCCCGGCGCGGCTGATAGATGGCGAATGCTCAGTTGGAGTCACCAATTGGTGATTTGAAGCATAAGACCGGGCGAGGTGGTGTTTTCTCTCTAGTTAAGCTTACGTTCATGTTCAGTGGTATTGAACATGGATGTCTATGCACCTAGTATCAATGAAATTGTTTAACAGTAAAAAGTAATAATGAAAAAATAAATAATTGTGGTAAAGCCTTTGAACAGTGGGTCATCCTCTTCAGCGCCTTCTAGTGGGTCGCCCTTTTTCTTAAGAAGAAGAGCAGCTCGTGCAGAGAGTCGATCCCCGCATTGACTGTCGCTGTCGTGAATCATCGCTGAGTGTCCGTCAATAAACCGCTTAACAATTTGGTGGAGAGTGCTGAGAGTGCTGTGCCCTTCAAACACCTTCGGTCAGCATTCGATGCCCTTGGAGCTTCGATCCCGTACCGTGCCTCCAACCATGTACCAAGACGCCGCCCAGCAAACCTTCCTCCTACGTCGCCGCCATGTCCCGGTGTCCCCCGCATCCGCGACCCTCCTGTCTTCACCGGCGCGGATGGCACCGACGTCGAGGACTGGCTTGCCATGTACGAACGTGTGAGCGTCCCCAATCATTGGGATGAGGCAGCTAAACTAGGTAACCTGTTCTTCTACCTTGCGGGTGTGGCCGGAATGTGGTACAATAACCACGCATCTGATTTCCCGACTTGGTCCGCTTTTAAAACCGCTGTCGTCGACGTGTTCGGCCGCCCTGCTGTTCGTAAGCTGCAAGCTGAACAGCGTTTACGTGAACGAGCCCAGCAGACCGGTGAGTCCTTCACAAGTTATATCGAGGACATCCTTGACTTGTGCAAGAAAGTCGACCCGAACATGTCAGAGGCTGACAAAATCACGCATGTTCTAAAAGGCATCGCCGACGATGCCTTCACCATGCTCCTGGCAAAGAACCCCCGCACTGTGGCAGAAGTCATCATGTTATGCCAAAGTTACGACGAGCTGCGGCGGCAGCGCTTGATGACCCGTCGTCCGCCACCACGTGATGCTGATCTCTCGGCCTTGTCAGCAGTTCCAGACCACGCAACCTTGCTCGCCGAAATCAAGTCGTTCGTGCGTGAGGAAGTTGCCCGCCAGGTCTCTCTACTGGCTTTTGCTTCCCCACAACAAGCTCAACAGCCATCAAGTACACTTCTACCTCCGCTCCGCCGAGCCATTCAGCAGGAAATCGCGGAGGTCGTCCCTGAATACCACCAGCCACCTCCTGCATCTGTGCCACTCAGCTACGCCCAAGTTGTTGCCAGGCCGCCCCCACCGATTTCTGTCACTGTTCCGCTAAATTACACCGAAACCGTCGCGAGGCCCCAGGCCTTTGGAGAACCTGTCTCGCCTACATACGCCGGCGTCACCCACGTGCCCCGAGTGCCGCCTACCATGCACTCATATCAGCAGCCGGCTCGCCAATCGCGTTCTGCGACATGGATGCGACCAGCAAACCAATGGCGCACTGCTGATAATCGCCCCATCTGTTTTGCTTGC